TCCTAATAAGACCACCTCTTCAGTTAACAGTGCTCCTGTTTCAGTACAGTTTAGCATCCCCTTGCCATTAGACCTAACAAGTCAAAACTTGCACATGGCTGACTCCAACCTCTCACCCTGACTTGATTTTGAGTTTGGGAGTACAGGAAAGGGTTCCCAAAGGACTCCCAAGTTTATCTCCTCAGCTTTTTGGCTCTGCTCTCATGAAAGCCAGAGTGCTACTGGCAGAGTAACTAGGCCTTACACAGCCCAGCTGCCTGATAACAGTTTCAGCCCAAGACAGAATACGGATCACCTGCTAGCCAACCCATAAAACAACCTGGTTTTCAACCCAGCTGGCTGCAGTAGGCAACTCGTGGCTTCAAGACCAGATACAAGCCTGCCTATTTTCTCTCTCCCATCCCCAGGAGGTCACCCTGATACAGACAGGAGGCAAGAGAGTACAAACGGCCATTTCAGTCACCGGGCTGGTCTTTTGCTTCAAAATTCACAAAAGTACTCTGAGATGATGAGACGACATTAGTAACAACTAAGGCTCCATTGCAACACTTACTTTTCTCTCAATACTTTATAGTTAGTATACTTTTCACTGTATCAGTCTGTCATCGTGCTAATTTAGGTACCAGGAGGAACTCGCCCTCTATCCCACAGTATGGAGACTCAGAAAATTGCCATATTCACTTACGTTATGCGTTATGACTGAAGCCCTTGCTTACAACGCTACCAAGGCTCTGGTTGCATAGACTACCAATTACCTCATCCATTTCTTTTAATTATAAAGTAATACCAAAGCAGAGACTGTCCCCTTAAATCCAGCAGGAGGTACAAGTGAAGAAGAGGACCATCTCATTGCCTGAGCAGCTTGCTGAGCATCCAGACTAACCATAAGGCCACCCACTGAAAAGTAATTTCTTTGGCACGCATTACAGACCAAAAACTAAACCGTATTGGGCTGTATAAAGAGCACCACAGAAACATCTGCACATTAATCACAGCTGCAGCAACAGTTACAAATCTGTTTGTCTTTGGTCACTGTCTAGATAGAAAATATGTCCAGCTACTCCAAAACAGCTGTACATTTCAGGTCAGGGACTGTATGGCATGTTTACATTCAAATTGCATAAGACACTTCCAGGTAATTACTTGAGATATTGCCAGGTCAATATAGTGGTAAAAATCTCCAAAATTAGGTACTTAGTATTTTTTTTTCAGCAGATATTCACTGCAAAGTCAGTGGGGACATGTATGAGTGCATACCTTATTTTGAAACCAAGAATCCAGCTGTGGAGGTCTTACTATCCCTGAAGTCAAAAGAAGTGGTCTTCCTAAGTTGCTTGTAAGTCCCACGGTCAAATCATGGTTGAGAATTTAAGGATTTTACCCACAAAAAAAAAAAAAAAAAGAACTGTTCCCTTGAAAGGAATAACAGTAACTGGGCTGTTTAAGTTTTAAAATACCATATTAAGCTTTATTCTTTAATAATGAGACGTGATGTGCAGTGTTATGACCTATTTTCAGACAATGGTTTAATTAAACATTTAATGAATGCATCTCATTTCTTTGCACGAGCTTCACTCTAAACAACCAAGCTAATAATGTAAACATCACTGTTTGATTATTAAAATAATTGCTTTCACAAACACCAGCCTCCTGGTAAATAAAATGCTTGGCACCATGCATACAATGTGCCCACAGCACAGGGACCAGTTTTAGCATAAACCCTGATTTACAGTTGACCATCAGCTTTTAGAAAAAAAATCCTAGGCAAATGGCTTTAAAGATGTGATATTTTCACCAAATGCTTGGACATTTGATTCAATTAATCAAGCTAATTTATAAAAACATCATTCATTTAACTAAACGACTGCCTTTAGTTTTTCCCAAGCAGAGACGCAGCAGCAGCAGCAGCTTCAGGACATTTCTTCAAACTCGGGTATCTGGATCAGACTAACCAAAACTGTGACCTTCCTTTAAGCTAAAGTCCTGTAGCTGTGGAGGATTTGTATCCAGCTAATGGAGTTTTTCCAGGAGTTAGTTACTTTAGAAATGACCATACATTTTCAGCAAGACTTTAATGAAGGAGAAAAAAAAAAAAAAAAAAAAAAAACAGATGGACATTTCTTTTTTTCCCCTCTTAGCTTTATAACCAAAAAAATTGAGCATTTTTGCAAAATGGTGACAAATCTTCAAGATTCTAAGTAAAAAAAAACTTAGTGAAATGAGTTGTCAAAACATTTTGAAAATCTGTCAACAGCTCTAATTCTTAGAAACCATGATTCGGTGATGCTTGAAATATTATCTTGTCCATGCTGAAGCAGCTAAACCACGTTCCTTGCTGCTTCAGCTTAGCTTTTTTTCTTTGTGGAAAGTTACCAGTATGCTTGTATATCTATTATGTGATTTTTCAAGCTGATCAGCATCCCACCAGTGTCATCCTTTCATAGGCAGGACATCTCCTGAAAGGTCACCACAGTCTCCAGAGTCAGTCAGCTTCTACTGCTTGGAAAAGATTCAGTCCTGTCACCCAAGGAAATAGCCAATTTTTCAGTCTCCATCTACGGCCCAACCATCATCCAAAGGGGGACAATGCATGGCGTGGTGAGAATATGAATTACACAAACTTTTCCAACTGTCTTCCCACTAAAAACATCATTGGCCTTTCACAGTAGGTGAAATTGCTGAGCACTCCATAGAATTGGACCCTTGTTTTTTAATGTTTTCAATAGAAAAAAAAAAAAAAGTATATATATAAAAAAATAAAGTCTTATTTCTCCTGCAAATGCAAAGATACCAGGAATCCAAACCCTAATATCCAGCTGCAGTAACTTAAGTCCTGTGTGTTCAGGTAAATTGGCTTAGATTTACAGCATCTGACAGAGTGGCTTGCATGTAATCATTCCTGTGTTATCGGAATGGAAATTATTTCTAACTATAGCCATTGTCACTAAATGGTCCATATCTGACCCATTACATTAAGCCCCTGACTATCCATGAGAGACTTCCCACCCGTTTTGATAGGCTTTTGATTAGGTCTGATATACATTCCTTTTTTTTTTTTTCCCTCTTCTTCCTTTGTCCTTGAGATCTGCGCCTACTTCCCACAGCTCTCTGGTTTGTGATTTACTGGTTTAATTATTTTATTTTTATTTAGTTTTAGTATTTATAATGGGGCACAATTGTCACTTTGAAATAGAAGCCACTTTCGTTCTTAAGGGTTGCATGTGGTATCGGTCGCCTTGAGCACAACAGGAGATTGGAAATCTTTGATATTTCTGGGCAATTTTCTTCCACCTCTACTGAACAATGCTTTAGCACAAAAGCAATAATGGCAAAAAGCAAAGTTTAAATGTGTTGGTGGCTATCAAAACATGATATTTGAGTACTTTGTAAACTAAGTTGTTGCATTTTATCTGTGGTCTTTTCCTAGGAAGCATAGATGCAAACCCAAGACATTTTCTTCCACTGGCGAAGATGAACAGTCCATTAGGAAGGGAGGAAATTCTCCTGTTACTGATGTGGCCAGAAGATAACGGCCAGTAACATGATATCTCAGGGCAGAGCAAAATCTCTAAGATCCAAAATAAGAAATGAATGTGTGAAGAACAGCCATGGAGAAGTCCTAGAGATGATCCATTTGCTAAAAGGCTGCAAGTAGCTACCTAGAGGTAGCAAGGATTTTACTGTACAAATAATATAAAACCTAGGTTAAAAAAACCCCAAAACATAAACCAGGGAACAAACTCCCATCCAGATGAGACTGACATTGGCAGTTGGAAATTGTGGGGGCTATTTGCTCTTCCAAGCCCAGATCTTTCCCACATGTATTATTGTCCCCTGCACACGTTTGCATGACTGTCATCACTCCCATCCTATTTGCTATACTTTATCAGTGTGAATTTTATTTAAAAAACAAAAACAAACAAACAAAAAAAAAACCCAGAAGAATGTTATTATTTACTACAAGACTCTCGGGAAAGGACTGCAGTTCTTATTGCAGCCTAATGAATAAGAACGGCCATAGCGTTTGTCCCAAGCCAAACAGCAAAGAAAAAATCCACCAGCTTTGGGGAAAACAAAAAAAAAAAAAATCACCTTTCAGACGCTAGCTCAGATTGAATGGGCATTTGGCACGGAACCCAAAATTTATCGTTTTCTTGGATGTAACTTTGTGTAGCCCGGACACTGGAGTCAGATCAAACCCCTAGAAACGGCTGAAATGAATTAGTGCTCCACTGACCACCACCAGCTCCCTCAAAGCCACCTCTCTTGGCACCGGGCATAAAGATACGGCTTCAAAGCTTAAAAAAAAAAAAAAAAACCAAACCAAACCAAACCAAACCCCTCCGCCACGGCACGGCGCGTCGCACACATGACGGCGGGGCAGCCGCCTTTGCCGGGTCCCCCCTCCCCGGGCGAGCCCGGGGGGCCGGCGGCCGGCCAGTGCCGCGGTGGGGGGCGGCGAGCCGGGCAGGACCGGGCTGGGCCGGGCCGGGCCGGGCAGGGCAGGGCAGGACCGCCCCGCCCCGTCCCTCCCCCGGGCCGGGCGCGGCGGCACCCCCGGGGGCGCGGCACCGGCGGCGGCGGCCCGGCCCGGGCGGGCGGCGGGGCCGGGGGAGCCTTCCCGCCGGGGATGCGGCTCCCCGGGGGCCGCGCCGCACGCTCCCGCCTTCCGCCCGCCGTCGACCGGGCGCCGAGCGGAGCCTCCGCCTCCGCCTCCCCGCGGCTGTCTTCCCCCGCGGCGGGGCCGCCGCCGTCGCCGCCCCGCATGGCCAGAGCGAGCCGGCCGGGCCGCGCCGCAGCAGCCCCCGGGGCCGCGGGGCGTGGGGCTGAGGGCGGGCGGGCGAGGCCGGCGGCCCCGGGGCGCTGCCGCCTTCGCCAGCCGGGCGGGCAGCCCCGCCGGGGGATGACTCAGAGCCGCGGCCCCTGCAGCGAAGCCGCCGCCGCCGCCGCGCCGGGCTCCGCACCCCGCGCCGGGGGCCGCCCGCCGCCCGCCGCGCCCCGCACCGGATGATGCCCCCGCGGGGGGCGGCGGGCTCCTGCCGCCGGCGGCGCCTGGCGCCCCTCAACGAGGACAACGGGCGGTTCCTGCTGCTGGCCGCCCTCATCGCGGCGTACCTCAGCGCCGGCGCCACCGTCTTCTCGGCCCTCGAGAGCCCGTCGGAGGCGGCGGCGCAGCTCCGCTGGAACCGGACCCTCCACAACTTCAGCCGCATCTTCAACATCAGCCTGCCGGAGCTGCGCGCCTTCCTGCGGAGCTACGAGGCGGCCATGGCCGCGGGCATCCGCGTCGACGCCCTGCGGCCCCGCTGGGACTTCCCCGGCGCCTTCTACTTCGTGGGCACCGTCGTCTCCACCATAGGTGAGCGCCGCCCCGACGGCCCCGCGGCGGAGGCGCCGGCCCGGGGGATGCCGCGGCCGCGGCCCCGGGCCGGTCGTTATAGCGACCAAACTTTGGGGGAGAGGCGCCGCCGCGTTGCTGTGGCAACCGGGCGCTTTGCAGCCGCGGGGAGTGGGGGGGACACACACCACACAGCCCGGGTTCGTGTCCGTGTCTGTGTGTGTGTGTGTGTCCCCTCCCCTCCCGCCCCGGGGGGTCGCGGTCCCGGCGCCCGGAGCCGGGCACCATCGCGGCAGCCGCTGCGCCGGGGCCGGTGACGGGACCCCCTCCCCCCGTCCCTCCCCAGCGAACTCCCGGTGCCGGCGGTGCGGCTGCCCGGCGGGGCTCCCGAGGGAGCGACCCGAGCAGCCCTGCCCGGTCCCGGGACGCGCCGGGTGGTCATTCGGCTCGTTAGCGGCGGCGGGGCTACTGCAGGTGCTGGGCGGTAGCCAGGCTTTCGCGGCGCCTCACCGCGGAACTTGGTACCGGTATTAACTGGTGGCAAAGTTGAGATGCGTTTGTGAATCAAGACGTAAGCTCACGCGAAGCCGTGTGTCTGCCGGCTGTACCGGGACGTACGCGCTGGGTACAGCGCTGGCTGCAGCTACTCCCACCGGGTCGGTGTTTCGGAAGAGCAGCACTTGATGAGCAAATGCTGAGTTTAGGGGGGAGGAATTTGTTTTACTCTGAAACTACCGGCTTTTACTTTTTTTTTTTTTTTTTTTTTTTTTTGTACTCTGAAAGCACCATTGAGAACTGTCGTGTGGGAGATTTACTTGAAGTAAAGCTGTGCCTGTTTGCTGCTCTGGGAGTATTGCTCGAGAAATCCTGTCCCTGCGGACACAAGATCTTACCGATTTTCTCTCCTTGCCAGTTCTTAAGTTTTGTAACAAGCCAGTTCTCTTGGGGCTTCTGAGCACAGATGTCGTGCTTTCCCTTTATTAGAGAGGAGGTAAGGCACAGCTCATTGTTGCATTTAGATTCATTAGGTTCGAAAAATGTTTTATCAATAGTGACTAATTGTGTAATGGAGTCGAGATGGTGACTACAGCGATGTTGTCAAGTATTGTTACTTTGTGCGTTGAATAACTCGGTTAACTTCTCCTGTTCAAGTACATTCAATACTCCAGTCATTAAAGCACCATTTTAATTAAGCGTTAGGCCTTCTTCATCACAAGAGCATATATTTTTAAGGAATCATTATGACTCACCTGAATGAATGGACAAAAAAAAAGTCAGTATCTTAACAAATGCACTCTTTCCTTACACCTGCTGTAGCAAACAGAGAAATTTTCAGGTGATGTGTAAACTCAGATCCATTCACTTCTCCACCCAACCCTGGCTTCTCCACTCTGTGGTTATTGAAATGTAAAATGTTTCCTCTTCATTTGCAAGCATTTCTTTACATCTCCACTGCATTGGTTCCTGGGCAGAGGGAATGAGTTTTTTGGCAATCTTGACAGGTGTAAATGGCTGAACCAAGAACTGTTTCTCATATTCCTGTAGTGCAACCCAGGGCACCAGTCTATAGCCAATAATGTCTACATCTCTCATATGCGAGATGGAGGCTGAAGATTGTTTTTCCTGAGCTACAACAGAGGCTTCTACTAAGCATTCCCCCGAGTAGTACCTTCTCTCGGCATACTACCTGCTAGCTCACACTCCTGGCTTACTCACAGTACTTTGCGTGCGTGCAGCGAGCCTGCTGTAGGGCAAGGTTTTGCTCTGAGTGAGGAGAGGCAGCAGAAGGTGGCTCGAAGTGAAGCAGAGTTGTGTGTTTGGGCACAGCTGAGCTGCACAGCCCTGACAGGAGTAGCAGCGTCTCCTGGAGCACCCCAAGGCTGTTGCACCCCATCCTGGCATAGCTACGTGCACGGCTCCTGGAGGTGAAGAGGAACTGCTGCCCCCACCTCAGTGCTTCTCCTCACTCCCCTCTTCAGGCTGCTGCAGCTCGTAGGGAGGCAAAGCCCATGGTGAGCTCAGCTGCTTCTCCATGGGCAAGGCTTCTTCCACCACACGGTTCTATTCGGTTATTACTGGCAGCTGTGTTTGCCCAGTAAAAGGAAAAAAAAAAAAAAAAAATTCAGTGAATTAACTAGTTGTCCCCCTAGAACCCAAAAGCTCTACTCTTAATGAAGCATGCAGAAGTCGGTCTTCCTCAGTCCCAGCATGGGAGAAACCAAATGGTAGACATCAAAAATGTCACCTGGGGGAGCAGTTCCAGAGCCATTCTTTCATGGTCCCTTTGTTCCCTCCCAGCCAGCTCATTTATGTACCTACCTACCTGGAGTACCTTCGATTCCACCGTCAGCTCACATACCACATTATCCTGGTTCAGAGCAATTTCACTTGCCTTCGTGTCACACTTAATTGGCAAGGGGAATGTGTCTTTACTCAACCTTGCCAAGAGCTACCAGACATCTAGAGTCAAAACAGCTTGCCTTCCTCAACAACTTCTGCAGTTACATGTGTCAAAGCAGCTTTATTACCCCAGCTAAACACACTCCTATCCTAGCGACGCATCGGAAAGCTTTCTTACTCACTGCTTGACAAATAGAGAATAGACATCGTGTCTGTTAAGGGTAAATCACCCATAGGTTATTCAGCCTCTTATCTGTAGAGGATTTCAACTTAGAGAAAACTCTCTGGGTCTTTTCAAGGTCTCACTGGTTTTAATAAAACAACTAAATCCATCATATGTAGGCATCAAAATACAGTCACCCAGGGACAGGGCTGCAAGTTTTTCTGGGGTTTGCGTAAGCCAAGGGGAGGGAGGGCGACTCCAGTTCTTCATCCTTCTTGTGAACACAAGAGTTGGGCTTGGAGAAAACTGTTCTGTCCACCCTCCTTGAGCAGGGCCTTTGCAGAGCCGAGCAGCTCCTCTTTGTTAGGTGCTTTATCTCCTGTACTTTCCCAGCTGCAGTTCTGCATCTTCCCTAGTTGCACAGGGACTCAATCAAACCCTCTGGGTGAGAAATGTTGGTGGGGTCTTTAAGAAATGGGAGAGAGTTAAAATGACATGTTAAGTCTAATCTCAAGTGTTTTCCTGAACAACCCACAGAGACAGTGGCTTAGAGTCCACAAAACTCTCTTCATAGCACCCTGGGCATTAATTTTTTTATTATTGCACTGTTTGTGGTTGAATAATGAAATGTTGAGATTTTTTCATCACATCCTTATTTTCAGAGCTGTGTAAGGAAATTCTTCAGCCTAATTTCTGATTGCTTTCTGTCAGTCTACACCATTTATTTAGTCACTATTTTGTACCCCAAAAGGTACCTTTTTTGTAGGCAATTATTGTTCAGATTTCTTTAAGGATCAGCTAGGTGAATTTGATTCTGGATTCATTGGTTTAACTGGCAGTAGACTTTGTTTTTCAGTTGAGTTCCTTCCATCCTTCCATCCTTCCCCAAATGCAAATCACAAATAGTTTCCAGCACTTTGTTAAAGACTGAAAGCAAAGCATAACTCAGACCAATTTTCTTCCTGGTAAAATGTTGCCGAGTACAGCATAATCAATCATAGCTTTCCCCATATTCTAGTAGCACAGATAATTTCTGCCTAGCACATAAGGCAACTTCGGGATGCCTGAAACTGGATTTCTGAGTTGGACCATGAGTCTAGACTCTGTACCCAGATGTTTTTCCTCTCTTAAATGTTAGAGTAAACATTAGGTGCCTATCTAGTAAAACATATTGAGACATCGACATACTACATTTGGATTTTAAGCTTCTTACATATAAGTACAAATGTTTCAAATATCAAGTGATACAATTGCTTTATAGAAATCCATACCAGGCATTTAAAAGTGAGGTCAAAATAAGTATTCTGATACGCAAACATGATTTTTCAGCATAAAAATTTTAAAAAGCATCCTTACTGCAGCTTGATTGCTTTTGGATGGAACATGCCTGAGTTACAGGTGCTTGAGAAGGGCCCCTGGGAAGAAAAGGTGCAAAGATCTTCCCTTTGTGCGAGGGTTCCAAGTGGTTAGGGCACAGTGTATTGGTGTGGGCAGGACTGTTCATCCTTTTGTCATCCCTGACTATCCTGTTAAATAACTCCATATTCGTGTGGACTGACAGCTCTACCCAAAAGGATGGGTCATGCTCTGCTCTTATCTCCGAGAGATAAGGCACAGCCCTGCAGTGAGATGAGAGATGGGGCTTTGAAACCACATGGAGAAAGGCGACATAATGAGAGACGTAATGTTAGGTTTGGTATTTTCTACCAGCTAACCAGTTCCCAGCAGCTGCTGTCTCCTTGCATAGGATGTTGGCTGAGTTAGACACCCTCTCTGGGTCCTCTGTGGCGTCCCTGCATACCTAGTACATTGTTTTTGCTCTTGCTCCACAACCTAGGCACCATAACCACTCGTTTCTAAAATATCATCTGGCTCGGTGTTGTAGTCTTTTGAGAAAATCTGGAGGTCCAGATGTGCTGAAGGCGATAATTCAATGGAAGTCACGTGCAAAAGACCGTTGGACAGCTCAGCAAGTGCATGGACAGATGTCAGACTGCACTGCTAGAAGCCAGGGAGAGACGCTGCCGAGAGCAGGCACTTCACATGGTAATTTGGCAAAAAATTCCACAGATAACCAAGATGGTCTGAAGGCTCTAAGGGGAAAATATATTTGTTCTGTCTTCCTCATTGTTGTATTTCAGGATATGAATTTGAGCTGCAGCTGGAGGGGGTTCTGGCTCTCTGTTCTCTGTGAATGCAATTTCACTGTCTATATGGCCAACGCAAACCAAAAGGCAACAGTCAAACCCGAGTGTGCACCTGATCAGCATCAGTGTTATGCTTTCTCAGGGCTCTGCAATTCTCTGAGGCTTGTACAGGCAGCTTTTGCAGAGGATTCAAATTAGGGGGCAGTTGCCTCCAGAGTTGTCTTTCTTGAAGTTAAAAAATAACCAAACAAAAACCAAATGAGGAAGCAGTTGGAAGAGCAAGCAGTATTACTAAGCTGCTGTGTCAGGTT